AGACGTAACGTGTCGTTTGTCCCCAGTGGTTGCTCGAAAGCTGCTCTGCTATTATGTCCTTAACAGTTGACGAGTTATTCGCGTGATTTGTCGGCAAGACGTGGTGCGCCTGCCTGAGTTTGACAAACGGAGGTTTTGGTACACAGATCAGTCATCTTAAGTGAGGGCAGACTGATAACAGTTCAAAGCGTCAATGAACAGTAATTATGGGCAGGAAGGTTGCGAGCATGCAGGTGTCGGGGGTTATAGTCCGGTTATGTCAGGCGATTGGGGTGGAGGAAGGAGGCGTCTAACAATGAGCTATGTAGCGTGACCTGACGGATGACAACGAACATGCTGGGTCCATACTTGGTCAAGGGAGCCTTATGTGAGCACTGGGTTGGGTTGGCTAACGGTATGGCCTCTGTCGCCAAAGGTGATACGGGAGCATGAAATGTTTCGCCAGCGCTTTAGAGATAATTCGGAATAACTTGAAAGGCAGGCCTCCCAAGAAATTTAATTTCAAGGAAAGACGTTCTTTGGGAAATAGGGTAACTTTCATTGACATCTACCCGGTATCCGCTATCACCAACGTGAGCAAAAAGTGCGCTATAGAACTTTTCCATGATTTAGCCATATAGAATGGTGTATTTGCATTCGCCTGGATAGACGTCGAGTCGTTCGACCAATATGACCTGCCCTCGACATCTGAAGGTTCTCAATCCCCTTCCCTCCTCACCTTTCATTAGCTGTTTCAACTTTTACTTCTGCCACTTCTTTTACTGTAGAGGCCTGAAAATGAATAATCGAAAACGTACGTTTTTGTCGAATTTGACTTCTGACTGATATTATCGAATTTTATGTGACGAGGGGTTCTTCCTCATCTAATTACCTCCCGCCTTTCGTCCTTTAATAGACTACCTCGACATCCACTGCCGCATCCTTCAAGCTTGACGGCTGCGTGCAACGCGATCTGTTTATCTGTCTCACTCCAACCTCAGTCAGTGCTCTTACTGCTCTGCTCGACAGCCTTGCAAACAATATGCTTGTGGTACCGACACATGAGCAGGTAAACGACCCGACAATGGACATTCAAAAGGCTCCTCTTTTTCAAAGTCTTTCGGCACTGGCGGACTCTTGTTGCATCAAGACTGCTCGTATTAAGGTGGGTGTTTTTGTTTACACTCCTTTTCTAAACAAATTTTGACTTTTTTCTCCTTTGTCCCTTATAGTTGACCCTGGTAGCAGATGACGCCGTTGATGCACCAGCCTCCTCTCTCAGCCTGTCTGCCGAGAGCTTCGACCTTGATGCTACGCTCCAGGGAACTGCACAGTGGAGTACCGCATCGCTCACTGCCAGCCTGAAGTGGCTTGACATCTGCTGGGATAAATCGGCATCCCCATCATCTTCGTCGAATTTTGCTTTTAAATTCCTTTCGAGTCCCTGCAGTGTCAACTGCGTGCTGTCTGCCTCCTCAGAGCCCGCCTGCAGCACCAACACAGCAAGTCTTCTGAAAGTTCATCTGACTCCAGGACCGCGGTTTATG